ACCATGGATCATGTTTACCCTGGTGTCCTTGATTAGGTATGCCAGCTCTGAATTGTGGGGATCTCTGGCCTCCACTACATCCTCCAGTAAGTCTGAATAACCTCTTTTCAGGTCACTTTGACCTAATTCCAACTCGGTGGAACACACTTTTTGCCCAGATTTCCTCTAAAAAGTTGAGAAATTCTTCCCTCCCTCTCCCAAGTTTGTTTTTTTTTTAACTGCTAAACTATTGCTGTTATGTTCCCAGTGGTGTCTTCGTTGCAATAAGCAGGCTAAGCAAAGAAAGAAGTAAGATCCATATGGCCTGAAAGCCATCAGCAGACCTTTGCTGAACTTTGTGTCTGTGTCATATATTGTTATTATCCAGGAAGCGCTGTTCTGCAAGAACTCTGGTTTTTCTCAATAATTCTCTTATATTTGTTCAACTCCAGGCTTCCCCAAAAGACAGGAAAGGTAGTATATAAGCATGAAAGGAAAATGTTTATTGGCTTTAACTTTCTAGCTAATTATTTTTCCTAAAAATGTGGAATGTTGAAGTTTCTGTGCCTTCAAGATTTTGTCAACATAGGAAAGATATAACAACACAGTTCTATGCTGATGGCCCCATAACTGTCTTTATAATTGTCTTATAAAACCTTGGCCAATATCATAGCCTGTCTTCCCTTCCTTCCTGCCTGCATCTCTCCCTCCCCCCCCCCGGAAGTGTTGTAAACAAAAGCAAGAAAAGAAGATGGGAAAATATGTTTTAATTCAAAAGTTAAAAAAAAAAATTAAAAATATACAATCATTTTATGTATCAAATTTCTCTAGTATCATTCACACTCAATTGACAATCTAAGCCAAACTGTAATTCCTTTATTTACTTTCAGGGATTTTTATTGATTGTTGTGGGTATTTTTTTAGCTTCATCCCACACCTGTGTGTTCTTTCTGACCTTGGGATCTAGCCCTACTCAAACAGCAGGAAAAACTAGAGACATCTAATGCAGACCACACCCTCAGCTATAGCCTCAGGGCTATTCTGAGAGAAAACAGATTTCATTTCTGAGATTTTCTTTATTTATAAAGTAGCTATGTGAAAAATAAAACCAGCTGAGGGAGATAGCTGGAGGAAAATGTGAGTGCCCTCTTTTAACCACTCACTCAGCACTGCTGTGGGGCCTTTCCCCTGAACCAGCAGCTCGTGTACTTCAGCCAAGGTGGTTTGAGAGCTGCCTTGGAAACCAGAGTGCCACTCCAGCTAAACATGTGCAGGAGCTTCCTCTTGTCCTCGGGCAATCAAGGTCTCACTGACTGCTTCACCCAGGAAGGTTTTCAACATTTGTATTCTCTTCAAGCAACAGGAAAATGTGACAATAAAGATGTGTCTTTGCCTCACAGGACATCTCTCCACCAACAAGGAACCAGGGGAGCTGCTCACTTGGCTGAATGAGTAAACTCCATTTAGATACAAGTACAGGCAAGGAATTCCTGCAATAATGTCAACACCCATGATGAGTAACTAATAAATGCTGATAACTAATAAACCATAACCAAAGAGGTGCTAAGTCCATGACTTTGGCTGTTTCTTGGAATATATAGCATCTCACATGAATCCAATGGTTTCAAAAGGATGCTACCAGAGAACAGTCTGGTTTTGCACCCACTATGTAGAAACATATTCTTATGTGCTGCTTATGTTTAAAGCTCTTCAAAAAATGATACTGCAAATTCCTCTTTCAGTTACAGAAATAGAAGCACAGGAGTGATTTGCCCACAGTTGTGGAGGCAGTTAGTGGAAGAGCAGCTCCAAACTCAGAGCACAGTACCTCCTCACTGTATGAATCCTTCAGCCTGCTTTCTTTTATGCACCTGCATATATATATATATGTATATATATATATATATATATATATAAAAAATATATATTCCAAGTTAATGAAATTACCTGATTTTCATTTGTCAGTGTGCTGAGCTCTAGGAAGAGAAGCAGGAGGAATCAGTTTGTGTGTCAACTATGAAATTTCAAAGCTACAATTTGTATACTGCGATTTATGCATATTTTAAATTTGTTATACAAACATATTAACTTGCATACATTTTTATTCTAAAAATTATGCCACATGCTGTCTTTCTGGGCATATTTTAATCTTTTTGAACTAAAAATCTCCTAAGTCTTTGAGGAGGATACAGCCTGTCAATGATATAATTGGAAATAAAACCTATAGAAGTTAATTTCCTGATACATTTTCTTTTCCTTTTAAAGACATTTGGAGTTTGACAATTTTTTGAGTTTGGCGCCAGGATAATGTTACATCAGCTTGTGATGTCAGTTTCTGAATGATTGTGTTACAATGTTTTGCCACCAGTGGCCCAAAACATCTCATGTAATGTTTCATTCTTTTCCCCTTTCTGCTCATGGGTTCCAAAATAATTAGAAAAAAAGACCTGATTCTGTAAGAATGGTGTTTACATAATGGATAAGTAATTCTGCTAGATTAGATTATACTGTATTAGACTAGGTTATACTGCATTGAAAACCAAATACATATGACAAGAGTTTTGCCAAAAATTCTTCTTCAATAAAAATTTTTCTTTTAACCAGATCTTTTAATGAGCTTCATCTGTTCTTTAGTTTCTCTTCTGACACACACAAGCAATTAATATCATGAAACATTATAGCTAAAAATTAGATCACCAATTTTTCCAGATGAAATACAAGGCATTGCATCTTCAGAAAACCTGTTTTTCACAGGATAACTAACCATCATACACTGAAAATATATACAACTTTCAGATCTCTTAAAGGGAGGAAAAACCAAAAGAAAAGTTACCATTTCTTCATTTTGCTTGAAAAATTGGAATACATGCTCATGTCTTATTATAACAGATAGGAAGAAGGAGAGGGTTTTTTCTCAGCATAGAAATCTCTGACTTCTGATAGCAACTAAAATATAACGAACTCCCCTCCCTTCACCACAAAACATCACCACTACCAAAGAAATCTAATACTTAAATACAAAAACAAAAACAAAAAACCAACCAACCAATCAAATAAACAAAACACAACAACAACAACAACAACAACAACAACAAAAAGAAGAAAAAGAAGAAAATTGCTTTTTGTTCCAAATGGAACAATATTCAACAACTTCTTTTGGATACCAGCTTTCAACCAGCTCTTATGTACCAGGTCGTCTGCATCTTTCTACATGGCTGCAATGACAGAGTTATGTTTAATGTCTCTTGGTTTCCTTTCCTTGCAAGTTTTGCAAAACTAATGCCTCCCACTTCTCCTCTCAGGTCTTTGTAGGTGCCTGCCCCTGTACTATTTCCATCACTAGAGATTTTAAAAACAGACCTTCTGTAGCTGCAATTTCTAACCAGTCATCTAGAATTATGGACAGTGAGGTACAAATTAGTTTTCTGATAAAGTCTAATAACTGAATGAACACAAATGCTAACATTAAGCATGGGAGAAGGTTTTTTTCAAAAATATTAACAATATTTCAAATATATTAACATATTTCAAGTTCAAACAATTTATGTTGTGATTTTAAAAGGGCTTTATTGCTTGTATTTGACCTGCTCTGAGTTGTGATATGTGTGTATCTGAAGCGGCTTAAGACCACCAAATGAGACTTTCTGGAGGGCACATTACATTTTCCAGGGATCAGGATCAGAAATATACTCTGTAAGATCATGTCTGCAGCTCCAGAAAGGCTGGGCGAGTGTGTGAGCATGAAAATATGTAACAGAGTGGGGAGGAAATCTGCATAAGAAACTGAGGAGTTTTTCTCAGAAAGAAAGTTCCATGCCCCAGTTACCCCATCGTCACCAGCACGGGTTGCCAAAGCACGTCAGTGTGCTATATAGAGCCCTTACTGCCTGCACTTCACACATTAGGAGAGAGGCACTGAAACTCATTTCTGCTTAAGTACCTGCGGTGTTTGGGGGGCAGACCACAATCTACTTCTCACTCTGACAGTCTCTGAGACTTCTCTGACAGCTCTGAAAACAGATCTCACTCCTGGCATATTAGCAGAGCCGAAAGCAACAGTTAGATCTTGCCATTACCTACAGCTGATTTCACTGGAAAGCATCTTGTGTCGTTCAGTCTTTGAACATGATTCAACTTGGACTTTCAGCCTCTCAGGAAAATGACTTGTTCTTAAGTCTAGCACTAGAAAGTGTGTGGCTCATAGGCTCGCAAGAAAAATATGAGCACTAAAAACATTCTGTCGTGTGCTAACAAGTCCTGCACCTTACCGTCTAGTGTTCAATTACTGATGTGTTCTGTGAGAGCAACCATGTTGTCTCTCAGCATTCATTTTGCCAAGCTAGAAAACACCCTGTCTAGTTTCCCCTCACAAGCTACATTTGTGATTATTCCAATCCTCTTTTCCCTGCAGATGCTCTTGCTTCTACATCTCCTGTCTTTACCTGACTGACTGTGCCTGTACACAGGCAACTATCCATCTATCTATCTATCTATCTATCTATCTATCTATCTATCTATCTATCTATCCATCTATCTATCTATCTATCTATCCATCTATCTATCTATCTATCTATCTATCTATCTATCTATCCATCTATCTATCTATCTATCTATCTGCCTATAAATCTATCTCTCCTGCTAGCCTTGCAAAATGGTGTTAGCAATTGCAATCCCCTCTCCCTGTTGAAAACATTTTCTGACATTTGGGGGTTCAATGTACATATCGTATTGATTCTTGACAGAAATTCTAAGTTATTATCTGCATACAAATACACTGCTCATTTTTAAAGGGTGGTCCTGAGTTTATTGAAGAATTTCCTGTTTCCTCCTTGCATTTTACATTATTTGCTCATTTCAATTTTTTCAGACCTGTTGGCAGCATTTTTTTTTCTTTCTCTAGAATTCCTGCCCTTTCTGCTGCTACTGTTGCTCTTTAACCGTGTGTTATCTGCTCACATCATTAGTGTACAAGATCATTACAAAGCTACTAATTAATTAGAGGTCACAAGATCTGTTCCAAGGGAGTCTCACCACTCTGCTTCCAGGAGAATGCTTCCTCATCCAGCACAGCCTATTTTCACAGCAGAACAGTGACTTAAATATGTGTTTCTAATGGTATGGTATCTTCCTGCAGTCAAATTCTCTGTGTGGTCACAGTAATTAGGACCTCTTGGATACCAAGTACCTCTTTGTAGCCTGCAGCACACCAGGCATCACATTCAGAGCAGGGTGAAAGATGTGGCTGTGCAGCATCTCTCAGAAATACACCATTATTCAGTCTGTCCCTGTAAAGCCTGGTGATATTCTCACTAGTTCGTATTTGCATACAGAAGGGCTGTGTCTGCTGCAGCTTCCCCTTACCTGGCCTGATCCTCATCCCCATCTACAGACTGACACCCCAGCCCATCCTTGGCAGGTTTCCATCTCCAAGGAGGTGCCCAGTACCCAGGACTGGGGCTGGGTTTCCTCTGGCTGCCCAGAGTTTCTTACTGGGGAGGTGGAATAGGCTCTGGATGGTGAGATCCTGCCCTGCTTCCCCAGGGGACCACCACACCTCTTGTCTTCAGGGAATTGCTGCTCCTCACAGTGTCTCAGCAACTACTGCAGCTAAGTTGCAGCTCTTTGGTGTCAACTGCTTTGCCCATTTTTTATCAAGACATGTTATTTTCATCCATACATGCCTTCCATCAGTCTGATATTGCATAATCATTTTTATTGCCCACATTTCTGCATACCACTTGACCCAGGGTTATGAACTGAATCATCTGCATTCCTATATTCCATACTATATTTCATGCCAGCTGGGGTTTGGAGGCGAAAAATTGTGTTTTGTTGGAATCAATCTTTTAGTCATTTTATCTGTTCTATATTCATACACATATGAATATGAATATGCTAACAGATTTTCCCTTTAGTTTTTAGAGATACCACGAGCTATTTTGTTTGAAGATCTACAGTAAGAGAACTGTGAAATCTAAGCAGAGAAGAAATCAGTGATTTGAAAAACAACTACTTGAAGTGTGCATTATGTCTGGATGCAAGTCTGGTAAAATATCACCATGGTTCACGTGATACAGGTGAAGGGATTAGAATATTTTCAATATGAGGAAGACAAGACACCTTGTGCATGGAGACTGGTATGGTGCCAAGGCTCCCAAGTTGTTATAGGCTCTAGATCTGTCCAACACATAGCCTCTGCACACAAACATGAAAGTCATGTGCTCACAACCAGACGTATTTCCTGTTTCTAAGGAAATAAAAACAGGGAAGTTGTTTGATCTTGGCTAAGAGGCTAACACTGAGGCCAATTTCAAAGGTAAGAGATTGAGACAGTCTGGATATAGGATACAAATTAATTTACATTGGATGTAAATTGTACAGGAATTGAAACCTCTTAAAATTGCATGATTCTAGTGTAACATTATGTCCTGTGACCTTCACATTGTTCAAGTGGAAAAAAAGAAAGTAATATTATAGCTGGCTTTCATTGTCTCAGAGAGGCTGCAAAATAGTCCTGTTCATCTCTGAGAAGGCAGAAAAAGAAAAGTTATTTTAGAAACTCTGCACCAATGATAGCAATCTTTTGGAATTTTTTGGCATTCAGATTCTCAACCCAAGTCGAGGACAGGGATGGGATTATACCAGATCAGAGATTAGAGAAATACCACTTCTTTAGGCTGCTCCAGCCACAAAGGGAGGGATTTGGAGCCCAGTCCCACACTAGCAAGCGTCACAGTGGGGAGAGGCTGCAATGGCAGGAACTGGGGATGCCCAATCCATCTGTATTTCTACCTACCATATATGTTGGCATGTTGGCAAGGCAACCAAGGGAAAAGAACTCTGCCTGTATGTAGGTTATTGCTCTGTTTCACTTCTACAGGTCTGGCCAGATAACCTCCTTTGCAAGTGAGGATCTGCCTCAGGTTTAGATTTTTTCCTTTGGAGTGGGAGTTAAAATAATACATGCATTTGGAAATATAAGCCAATAACCAATTACTAGTATGTTCAACACCATTTTAGACTGCCACTTCAAATGCCATCCTTTCATTACCCAGGAGAAGGAACATTAAAAAAAATGATAATGTTTTGTGGTTATCTGACAGACTGAATATATGGCAGTGAGTGTGAAAGCCTTTTTTGCATGTCATACAGCAAAAGTGAGAAAAGCTGGTGGATTTCAAGTCAGAACACACCTGTTGCTCCAAAATTACTTGTTTTTTTATACCCCATATTACGTTAACCCTGGCAAAAGCTGGTTAGTGGATGTGCAAGTAAATTTTGTGGCCATGGAGTAGGACAAAGTTAAACCTCATCTCTAACTTGTTAAATAAAATAAAATGGGTAATTTATCCCAGCTTTGTGGGGAGACAGGGAATCTATCCTGTTCTGTATGACCCTTGACTTCAGGGACACACTCCAGTCAAAACCCCAGTCTGCATCCTGCCCTTTCTCTGCCCTTCAGAGAGCAGGCTCCTTAGACCTTGCAATGCCCTCCCAAAGAGGGGAAAATGAGCTTCAAGTGCCACTGATGGTGTCCTGACTGGCACAGAGACACAGCTGCATCACAGTTCACATTACTAATTTCCCAGAACCTAAAGATGTGAGTCAAATCAAAGCCACTGCAGCGCTGAACACAGAGGCAGACAATTTTACAAAAATGAGTGTGCTGATACATTTGTTCAGTTTTTTGCTTCTCAGTCACATGAATAAAATCCTAGGCTCCTGCAATCCTTTTCCTTTCCCCCTTGTTTTTATTTGCTCTCCCTGCCCCTCCATATAGCATATACAAGGGTTTTTCATGCAGACTGTGGGCTGGTTACCCAATTATAAACAGGGCAGCTAGCATTATGAAAATATAGTTAAAGTCTCTGTCAGTGTCACCATTAAACAACTACAGTAAATAAGATATTATGGTACTTCTTTATAGACCTCTTTATCTCAAGGGGTTTTTCTCCCTCTTCATACTATCTACATCTCCCTAGAGAGAATAGTTACCTACTATGAAAGAATTCTCAAGACTGTAGCTTTTATTATCATTTAAATTGCCAAGAACATTAAGATGTCATTGGTGACAACAGTAACAACTAACTAAAGCAGAAGGGAAGTAGTATTTTTCCATTATCTGTTTCTTTTGATTTAAATTTTCAGTGTGTCTTGAAATGAGGAAAAAACTGTTTTCTTCTGTCTTGAAAACATTTCACAGCATTCATTCTTCAGCCCTACTCAAAGACTTCTTTAAGAATGAAATTATGAAAATACTCCTTCATCCTATATTTGCCCATGTAAGTAGACCTGCACTGAAAGATGTGGAATAATATAATTGTATAAAATTAATCTTCTATCTATCTATCTATCTATCTATCTATCTATCTATCTATCTATCTATCTTTCTATATTCACAATGGAATATTAAGTGAATAATTGTATTACAGTTGAGTCAGTGCTAGGAAAATATGTTTCTGATTTATTTTTCTATTTTTCCTGCCTGAGCACTGGGCACCCCTTTCCTCATTTTTATTGTTGCTTGACGCAGAATAAAACCGGTGAAAAAATCTTGAAAGCCAATTCTGCAGCTATTTAACTTTACACTTTTTGAGTGGGTTGCTGACAACTTGTTAAGTTCAGCATCAGAATAGGACTTTAGAGTCCTAGTCTGGAGCTGCTGTTAAGTGACTCATTAAGAACATTTGACAGTCAGAATTTAGACTGTTCTTTAACACTGACTGATATAAAGCATATGGTTTTTTTATTTTATTTCAATGAACACATGTGTATTCCAAAGTCTTCAAGTCATGATAGCAAATATAAAATTGCTATCTGAGTGCATTTTATTTTGAGCAAACCCAACACTATTCACCTGCAGACATTCCTCTGCAAATTCCCTCAGATACAACTTTCTTGCTATGGTAATCTTTATCCAGGAGAATGTTATCAGAGAGAAAGAAAAGAGCAATGAATGACCTTATGCTCAAACTGCAAAGAAACATTTCAGTGACTCAAAGAAGAGGCAGCTAAACATCATCTCATCAAAATGTTAATATATAATTTTTTGACTGAAATAAATTGACTCAGAAAAGTCTCACTTTATTTTTTACTTTTGCAAATTACAGTTTTTCTAAGTAGGATTTTTATTAAATTATTTGCCTAGCCAACAGAGTGGCAGAAAATATTGAAATTTTGAGTAAATGCAGAGTAATACACAAAGGAAAATTCCTGTGTAAACAGCATGAATAATGATGATTTTTAAACTATCTATCACCATTCAGAAAATATTTGACTGCTTCTCTGAAAACATTAGCACAATGTTCTGCCATTTTTGTAAAGACAAATCTAATGTTTGAAGTTGTTAGGAACTGAATGGGGAACAAAACAAAAATTATCTTTGCACTGCTTTATAAACCCATGGCATGCTCACATCTTGAGCACAATCCAATTCAATCAATTTGGAAAACAGTTTGGTGTAGTTTTGAAGTCATGGTAAGGGTGATTAGAAATACGGAACAGATTTTGTGTTCATATAGCCTGCAGCTCTTCATCTTGGAAAAGGCAGGACTGAAGGAAGTCAGCAAGGAGATCTACGCATTCTGAACAAGCAGACAAGCAATAATTAAAAGCTATTACGAGTGTAAGAAGTAGAGGTGCCCCAATGTTTTTTATTAGGAAGAGCAACAAATAAAACTGCTTTTACACAACTTACAAATAAGTTGCAGAACTCATTATTGCAAGATATAGAGGTCAGCGAGAGTTTAAACATATTCAAAACTGTTTCAGAGAGCTCCTGGGAAAAGATCTGCTGGTGTGGTGTTGAATGTGATGGAAGGGATACAACAGCTAGCACCTGCCAATTCTAAAGCAGGTGGCTTGAGGGCACCAACAAAGAATCATCCTCTCTATTTCCTTCCATTTCTTGCATTTGTCCTATACATTTGCAGCTGATTCCTGCAGGAAAGAGCATTTGGGGCTGCATAGACTTTTGATGTAACCCAGAATACCATTTCATAGATCTTTAAGAAATACAGGTAAATTATTTGATTTTTTTGTTTTGTTATTTTGGGTTGTGGTTTTTTGGTTTTTTTTTTTTTTGAGAGCCAAACTTAATGAATCTCTTCACTGTTAATATATTAGTTAGTCTTATTTATTCTTATTCAAGCTTTTCATCTCTATTAGATAACAGTAAAATAAAAACTGATCAAAGTACTTCCTATTGGCAAGATTTTCAAATACTGCAGTCATAAAACAAATAATCTAAATTTCAGCAACAACCATGATCAACACTATGTTTAAAGCTGCTGATACAACAGGCTCAATAACTGCCACATATGTTTCACAAGACTTAGATCTGGGAGCCATCAGTATAGATCATTAAACAGAATTTTTTAATAAATTCAACTGTCTCTTCAGAGTGGGTTTGCTTTTTTTTAAAACATGTTTGGACTCTGAAAATGGGTAGAATTCCCTAGTTTGTGTGACTGCAAATTTAAGCAATGGCTTATTATAGTTGCTCTCTATTAATACTTTTTATAAGGCAGATTGCTGAAATTAGTAACTTCTGCATACTCTAGTGTTCTATGAGATGTTTTGTCTCTCTTTCTTCTCTCAGTGCCTGCGAATCAGCTCATTGGATGGAGTAAACAATGCTTCATTGGTATCAGTGATGCTACAGCACTTTACACCAGCTGAGAAACTGATCCTTCCAGTTAGGATAGGAAAGGGAGGGAGTGCAGAGACCAGCTGTCCCTTACGCTTTTTCCATGAATTTCTGAAACACTAACGTTGCTAATAACAGAATTTACAATAAGCTTGGTAAAGATGAACTGCAGTCACATCAGTTTCTCCCAGTGCTGACACAGCTTCTCTGTGCAAACTTCATACACAGGAGCCAGGGAAGTGCAGGCAAAAAGCAATTATGACAGTCTTTGTTTTGAGTTGCTTCTGTTGCTGTCAAACTGTAAAGAAGCAAAGAAGACTGGAAGAATCACATCAGAGAAGATTTTGGCCAGCTTTTGCTACAGGCTTTGTTTGTTCAAGTTTCTATGGATAAAGGGTTTCTCTGGAACAGTTTAGATGAAGCAAAGAGTTTCCTGAAAGCTGAAATTCAAATCATCCATGTCATGCAGTGGTGCCAGGGTACACCCTGCAATCTCTGGTTTCATAACAGATTCAAAGTCTGTTGTACTTTTGCCACAGGTAGTTAATGGGTTTTGTTGCTCTCCTGTACATGAATCATTTTAAAACCACAAAAACCAACACAAAAAAAGATACAAACCACTCCCTTCTTCATTCCTTGCTCCACCCAAAAAACTCACAAAAGCAACCCCAACCCAAATTTCATCCTTCCAGAATATCCAGACCATCAGGACCTGCAGCTTGGAAATCTTTCCATTTAAAATTTCTCCCAGTGGGAACTATTTTTGCCAAACGTTAAGAGCAGAGACAAGGCAAATATTAACCAAATCCTACTCTCTTCTAGTCCTGAAAAGCAAGGTTAAATAGTTGGAGCTGTCTGCTGGAACAATGGAAAGTGTCAGACTTTCATAGTTCCCCAAGAATTATTACTGACATCTCTCATTTGTTGCTTTCACATAGAATTAAACATAGTGGGAGCTGGGAGAACTTTCTGAAGAAAACTTCAATG